TCTTATAGCGATTTTAATTTAAGTTCTTCAAAATTCAAGGTTTCCTCTTTTGAAAACAGTCAGGTAATGTTTTCACAAAATCCCAAAAGAAAGGGGGTCGGGGGGTTCTCCCCCGGGAAAATTTTGATTCCTAGAAGCGGGAAATGAGCTTTCCCGACTTATGAGATGTCTTTTATTTACTTCTAATTTCTTCAAAAATCAAGGTTTCCCCACTCTTGAAAATGATTCAATAGAACCAATGAACCCCAAAGAAAAAATGGGTCCGGGTTCCCCCGGGAAAATTCTGATTTCTAGAATGCGGGAAATGACCTTCCCTGACTTCTGAAATGTCTTTTAAATGACTTTTTAAGTTCTTCAAAATTCAAGGTTTACCTATTTTGAAATGGTCGGGTAATTTTTTCTCATTTTTTATTTTATGTGTGTATACATAGGCCTACATAAATAAATGAATATTTGCATGCGTATTCTTTTTTTCCCGGGGGTTCTCCCCGGGAAAATTTTAATTCGTAGATAGCGGAAATGAGCTTTCCCGACATTTGAAGTGTGTTTTAATGACTTTTATGTTATTCAAAATTCTAATTTTCTGATTTTAACATAACAAAAAAAAAGAAAAAAAAAAAAAAAAAATCAGCTCACGTGTCCTTAAAAGGTAGGTCTAGATTTTTTCCGGTCACACAAAAATCTCCAGACATTATTTTTTGCAAAAAAAGTGGGGGGGGGGGCGGCTCCCCCGGTTCCGCCGGCCATGTTTAGAACTTGTGAAGTCGGTTTTTCCCAGTTCACAACTTGTGAAACGCGTTCATCTCGTTGGTGAACTGGTAAACACAAGTTGTGAACTCGAGTAGAATTCTCTTCCTCGATTTGCACAAGTAGTGTGGAAAATGGCGGATGTAACACAAACTATGCACAATGAGCATAGGTATTTATTGCAATTTGTTTATTAATTAATATTATTTCAGATAAAAAAAGAAAGAGTTTTGTTTGTATGTTTTATTTGCAACTAAGTAATATTAATTCAGATTTAAAAAAAAAGTTGTTTTGTATGTTTTATTTTCAAAAACATCGCAAAAGTGGCAGCAGCCATTTAGAGTTTATCAAATGAATGCACTCTTCTCGTGTTCTCACATGTTACAAGTTGTGAACACCGACTTCACAAGTTCTAATGAACGCAGCATTAAAACCGAGTTGGCTAAACTCTCTCTATCTTCGGCTCTGGCTGGGTATAATCAGACGCACGCGGCGCCCTTTTTTCACTAGGAAAACTTTATCACTAAACTAATCAGAGTCCGGTCATACGAATCTACGCTTTTGTGTGTGTCATTTTATTGTCTTGATCTATTATACCTACTTCTTTGTACAGTATCTTATGTATAATGGCAACGATTTCAACCTCCGCAAAAAGAGATTATGTATTCACAGGGGATGTAACAGTGGCAGAAGTTTTTTAGATCCAGCCGTACGCGGCGCCCCATGGTTTATATTCCCACCATGCATTTCGGTGGAACAATTTTTTTTCTGTGGAGAGAACTCTATCTTGTGTGTTTCTAGAGTATGGAACGCCGTTAGTATCTTCGGTTATGTGCAAACACTCTATTATGTGCAATCGCCATGACGTTATGTGGAATGGTCATGACGTTATGTGGTTTGGTCATTATGTTATGTGGTTTCTCACTATGTTATGTGGTTTGGTCATGATGTTATGTAGTTTGGTGATGACGTTAGGACGTCCTTGCGAGTATGTGAAGAAGTGTGAATAAGAAGACGGCTGTACAAGTAAGCCTATATCAACTTTCATTTTAAACTTTTGATTGGCCGAGAGCGAGCGGGAAGACCACACTAGTTTTTTTTAACCACCGCACCAAAGTTTTATTTCATACAAGCAAAGAGTATATACTGTAACAGAAGAGAGTCCACTGCTATTCTAAATACACGCCAATCAGCGTGACGCCCGATCCGCTGTATGGGGAAAACGCCCCTAGCGTCTGTTGTGGATGCATGAGTGATGGCAGCATATAAAAATATAATTTAAGATCTGTATTTGGAAAAGAGTGCATAAAGTCAAATTATTATAAAGGCAAGAATTTATAAGAATAACATTATTGGAAAATATGCTATATATTTGTGGGTTTTAGAAAGTTTACTTTTAAATCACGCTAGTATTTTGAATGTTGATAAAAAAAAAGCCTGGGAGTTTATATAAGCAAAATAATATATTATAGGCCTCCCTATTAGAAGACGACTACTCATTATAAACATTCATCCATCCATTCATTGGTATTCGGCATATGTAATTCTTATTAAATGAGAAGATATAGTTAATGATGTGTTTGCTTTGACTATGACTATGTTCTTCAGCCCTTCCTCAGTCTGGTATGTAAATATAACGTTTTCTCTTAAGTCAAACAAATTAATGTATAAAATAATAGGAAAAAGAAAAAATCGGAAACACCAAAGTAACTTTCAAAATATTGTACTTTATTTAGTATTTTCTACACGAACTTCAAATACTTTCAAAAGCAAATGAAAGTTAGGTAATGATGAGGAAAACATCCATCTTGATACCTTAAAATCCCGGATTTACATGATAAATGAGAAAAAAAATTCATCCATCCAACTGTTAGTGACCCAGGCACTGTCTTTGATGAGCTATTACCACCACATAATAATCAGGGGCGGATCCAGGATTTGAAAGAGGGTGCTTCAAAATGAAAAATTTTTATTCCTAGGCCGGAAATGAGCCTTTTTTAATGACCTTTTAAGTTCTTCAAAATTCAAGGTTTTCTCCTTTTGAAAAGATCAGTAAGTAACTTTATTGCTTCTCTTAAATAACAGATGCACAACCGTATAAGATGTGCAACAATAACAAAATCAGTATAAACTTAATTACTTAGAAATTACTTAATTTTATCTCATTCTTCAGGCCTCTATATTAGAGAAAAAAAAAATCAAAGACATAGTGAGTGGATTTCCTGCACGATTAAAAATCGTAACGGCACCGGGTTTGGTCTACGGAAGTGCTTCGAACAGGTCATTCCATTCATAGAAAATGCCTTTTGATGGAGAAAGTGTACCTTTTTAGCAAGGTTTGCCTAGTTCGAAACTATATAAAACTATATAAGCTATAATAATTGTGAGGGTGAAGTCATCATTTAGAGAATTAATTAGATTTGTTTGGACCTGTCTCTCTACGGAAAAATCATGCAAATCAAATCGATTAAAAAAATTGTTCAATTCGGTAGCATATTATTTCAGATACCGGTAAGTCAGGAAAACATCTTACTTTATTACCCTTGTCTTTATGCATAAAACTACTCATCAGGCGCATGCCCTTCCATTTTCATGCTATTTTCCATAAAATGATTTTCTACCTTCATTCTGTAATTATTTTTTTCTTTACGTATAATAGTTTTAAGTTATTTTTGGATATCTTTAACTTTATTTCTATCATTTTCATTAAAGGCTACTTTCTTTCTTTTAATAACGGCTTGAACATTTTTTAGTAATCCATGGTTTACTGTTACTGAAAACTCTAACAACTTTTTTGGGAATTGTAATTTCACAACAGAAATCAATATACAGTAGTCACAAAATGTTTGAGTGAGATCGTTAAGATCTTTACAATTTTCTTTTAACATGTCCCAGTCTGTACACCCCAGAGCGCCATGTAAGCGCTGTATAGATTCACTGTCCGTTGTTTAACAATGATTTTCTTTGGTTTTTGCGTCATACTCAACGATAAGTATTTGGTACTTAACAGTACGAGGTTATGGTCGCCGAGACATGGTAGCTTGGTTTACACGTATGCGTTATTTACATTCGAGTAACAAAGGTCCAGTTGTCGCACAGCTGACTTATTGATAGTAATAAACACTACTTTTCCTTAAATTACAATGATTAAAATCGCCATTTACTATAATCAAGGGGTCAGGGGATTCCACTTCAACTTTATAAATGGCGTCGTATAATTGTTCTGAAGCTTTCTTAGCAAGGTTTCTATGCGGAACATACCGTGATAACAGCTATGTGCGAAAACTCTCTAGGAATGTAAAAGGGCCGTATACTGTCACCATTATTTCACTCTCCAGTGTGCATGTATGCGCCTTAATCGTTATATTATTTGGGTGACAATATCGGCTATTCACATAATACACACAGACCTCCTCCTTTTTCTTTACCCGATTCCGATGTTCGATCACCTCTGAATTATTTAAATCCATCAATATTCATATGCTCATCCCTGTGTTTTTCTTTCAACCAAGTCTCGGTAAATGACATAAGATTAAGACTATACGTTCCTAAATTCGTTCATGTATCGCACGTTTGCCCTTAGTTCGTCTATTTTATTGTCCAGTGACTGCACGTTTCCAATAATAATAGATGGGGTGTAAGGTCTACTTTTCCTCTTTTTAAGGTGTTCCATGATTCCTCCTGCTTTCCCTCTCTTTCTGTGTTTTACGATTTTAGGTCACTTGTGTTTTTTCTGGCGGCGGTGGGGTGCAACGGCTTTGCTCCTGTATAACTAGCAGTTTGTTTGTGTAGGTGATCCAAAACAACACAAAAAATACACTAAAAAAGCACATAATTTGCTTCAGCAGCATTGTAGCACAATACAGTATCAACCACGACGTTCAAAAAGTAGATAAAGAAACAGATAGTTTTTTTAAAAAGGCACCAACAGCTCCACCGGTAAACGAGCTCCGCCGCCACTTCAGCAGCGCCGCTGTGATGAATGAAACTTGATATAGTCTTACTTGTACAGCCGTCTTCTTATTCATACTTCTTCACATACTCGCAAGGACGTCCGAACGTCATGTCGAAAAACATAATGTGCAAACCACATAACATAATGAGCAAACCTGGCCCCATAACATCATGACCAAACTACATAGCATCATGACCAAACCATATAACATAATGACCAAACCACATAACGTAATGACCATTCCACATAACGTCATGGCGATTGCACATAATAGAGTGTTTGCACGTACCGAAGATACTAACGGCGTTCCATACTAGAGTAGTAGTTGATCTTTCGGAGTACAGTACAATGTCCGTGTGTTTTCCATCCGTGTTTCGTCGAAAAGGGAAACAAACTGAATGTTCTTCTACCATTTAGGCCTGGAGTAGGTCTAATTCGATGTGCATGAGGTAATAACCTAAACTTATTAAACAATATTCACGTTTATTATTTACTCAAAGGTAGGCTTTAAAAAATGATATACTGTAATAGCGGATAGGCCTAGGCCCTAGGCTGATAATATTTTATATAGCCTTCTTACTAATATAAGAAGGGGTAGACTCCATCGAAGAAGGCTGATCTGGTGCGCGGGACTGGGCTGGGGGTACAGAAGCTGTAATTTCCTAAACCGTGATTCCGGGAATTGGATGATGCCAAAAAATCCAACCAGGTGTGGTCTAGGCTAGTAGGCCTAGGCTTGGCACGTTCCGTGGGTTTTAAGCCTAGGCCTTAGTTAGGCCATGTTTTTTTTTTCTTTAACAAAATATATAATTTTGTAGGCCCGGTACTGTAGGCCTAGGACTGTGTAGTAAGGCCTGTACAGGTAATATATCCTCCGCGCAAAAATTTGGCCTAGAAATATGTCCACTCATTTGGGAAAATAAGACCAAATCTTAGCCGGGGATGTAATTTTCAAAACTGTTACATGCATGTAAATGTCCCCGCCAGCTCCCGGCAGTGCGGGGCATCGTTTTAACGTATCCCCCGGCTAAGTCCCCGCCACTTACCGCCGTAATCCCGGTAAAATGCCCCGCTAATAAATGATTGGATGATAAGACCTACTTGAAGCAAGGAGTTATAAAAATCTAGTCTACGTCTAAATCGGAGAAGCACGCGAGAGCTAGGCAGGAGCTAGGCCAAGTAGATGAGCTCGCTATGCAGCATGGAAGTGCGAACAAAAAGAAGACAGATTGACAGATTGATCATAGAAAAAGAAAATAATTGATTGATTGACTAATAACTGATTGATGGAATTTAATTATTCAATATCAAAACAGAAATTAGGCCTAAATAAAAGAAAATTAATACATTACAGTAGTAGAACAGGTTTCCTTGCCTTGGCTCACGTACTGGCATATTTTTGGCACAACACACTACTCACACACACCTCAGTCGTCAGCGTTCTGAGGTTGGAGGTTCAATTTTTATTGATGAATGAAACCATCATGGTAGACCTGAAGTACCGGTAGGTGATTTTTTAATTACTAAAACAGACAGTGTTGACTGAATGCCAAGCCAGTATAGGCTAATAGTAGGACCAGACCCGGTTTGACAGCGCTAGGCTAGGCCTGCACACCCGAAACCTCGGCTACTCTACGTGTAAAATTTCCGGCCCTTTCGAGGCCTGTTACATTTACTTCAGGTAAATTTTAGGTACGTCTTGGCACTACGGGGACACAACTATGTGTACATCCCCGGCTCAGTCTCGGCAAGTGCCCCGCTATGGCCTGGGTCCGGGGCCGGGACTACAATTGACAAGTGCATAACCAACGCAGTTATGGAATGAATACGATTCCGCACACCTATTTTCCTAGCGATTTTCTGTTCAAATCTGAGTTTTTCTTTCTTTTAAGGTATACTCCACGCAATTAAAAACTTTACAGTATCGACCCTATGAACTAAAAATAGGTCGATACTGTAGCTATTTCCAGAGCAGCAAGCTCAGTTTCTCCTTGGTTGATTAAATTCTTCTTACTGTATGTTATAGTCACTATAAACATTTTGTGAGTTGGTTTGGTGAGAGGTTCAAGTTGGTTAAAAGGTTCAAGTTGAATTTGTTTTTCAAGTTGAATTGAGTTTTTGGGTTCAGGATAGTTGGATAGAGTTGGATTTGGTTTCAAGTGACTTGGAATTATTACCGTCTCAATATTCAGTGGTGGATTCAAGGAGGGAGGGTTTGAGCTGGCCCGGGCCCTCCCTCTACGTTTGTCAAACCTATTTAAGAAATGGAGAAAAAAATTATAATTAATTGCTTAATTGACATTGGTATCTCTGGTTTTGCACTTTCCAATCGTATTAAATATCACGACGCCAATGTGTTAAAATTAAATCAGAGGCTAGTAAAAACTGAAAAGATTAGTTTTTACAAAGTGTTATGTTGTAAGTAACTTTCAATCTTTCTGATGAAATCGGTATCACACCCATTTAAACATACTGTATTGAAGAAGTAAGACAAAACTACAGTAAAACATGTCAGTGTGGTAAATACAAAATGCAGATATGTTTATTGTTGAAATTTGACAAGAGAAGAAAGAATGAGACATATCCTGAGAATACAGTACTACTGTGTAATTATACTTTTGTATATTAAAGAATTTGCTTAAGGTACAGTAGATCAGGCCCAACTAGTCTAAACCGAGCCGAGTAGGCCAAGCCGTCCAAGCCTTCACGGTAAAAGTGGCCGTCATAAATAATTGATGGCCATCCAAAAGACGGCCGGATGGCTCGCTAGCTAAGCCCTTGGTACACAGGCAGTGCAGTGGACGGAGCAAAGTAATATTTAGTGTATAGTAGGTAAAGTGGAACCTACTACTTTAATAAGTGTGGCTGATATGACGCATACAGTTTGTTCACTAAATATCAGTAATATGGTGGACAGGGCCACTCAGTCTCAACCTAATTTCATGGCTTTCCACCCAGTTGCAGCGCCAAGGGGGCAGCTTTACATTTAAAAGTATTTTTCAAGTTTGAGAGTCTCAATTCCGGCTGTACAGAGGTCCCTACTTTAAAAAAAAAAACCCCTCCCCCGGCTCGATCAGAAGTCCTTTGGATTGCTATGCGCACACAGTATTTATATATTCCATTGTTGTTTTCAGGCGTGTCTAATCAAAAAATAATTTTGGACCTTTTCTCAGTGAACATAACAAAGTGTATACTTTGGCAAATATTATAAGAATATCATAAAAAATAAATTTAAACAGTTAATTGCTGATGCAAATTAAATATTAGGACAATCAGTTTCATTGGTGATTATTTTTTTAAATTATGAAATTTAAATCAGGCAGGTTTTGAGATTATGCAAATTTTATGGTATATTTTTGTATAGAGTTTGCTTATTATTAACTGTCATAAAAACTACAGGAAAAGCACCAATAATTACAATTGATGTACTGTACTACACTACAGTATATAAAGCCGTTTATTTGTTTTTAATATTTACTGTATTTAATTTTATTCAATCTGTTATGTTGATGCCAAATAAATATTGAATTAAATTGAATTAAAATAATTATTTTAAGCCCTGTCTAGACATTTACGTAGCAAATATATGTGACATGCCTAAATATGGTCATGATGACATCACATTATGACCATACAGTATATAGGCACATCATGACCATATATAGGCACATCATGACTAAATATGGGCATAAAATAGGTTTTTGTCAAAGAAAATGAAATGTTTTTATTATCAGCCAAATAAAGTGTCTATGCAAATAATATAATAGTTTATATGATTGAGCTTGTATTTACAATCTTGCACTAATTGTCAGGGACGGATCCAGTGTCTATTTCGTGAATACTTATCTGGATGAACCGATAATTGACATGTCGACAAGGACGCGAAGCCCCGCCCACAAAGTCACGAAAACCTTAGACAATGGCGGCTAGACTTACCGAGTTGGCAAAGATTTTCTTTGCTATCAACCTTCTTCAAGAAAGAGAATTCAGGGTAGGCGGTATGCAAATGAATCATATATTCATATTGTTAACCTATGTCATGGAACATGGCGGGGAAATTGTTGTAAAAGCCTCTGTATTTCGCTCCCAAAGGAAGAGGGAAAAGCCGCATTCAGTCAACCTTGTTGTCGGCAAAGGCCATGTCACCGATGCGCACTGCTCGTGTAAATCTGTGTATCTATAACCAAGCATAGACATCCAGGCCTAGGCTCACGTATGTTTCGCGTTTAAACCAGCTAAGAAAATTAAAATGTCCGAGAAAAAAATTTGTGATCACATGACTAAATAACGCTCGCTGATATTTTTATCTGTCAATCAAATCTCGTCGAGATGTTAATTGCTTAAGTTTCCTTTGGAACTTACCTCTCAAGCATGAAAGAAAAATAATGATCTCGCCCCCTAGCTCACCTGTATACGCCCTGCGTGAATGTACAATATCCTCGTTTCCTTCTCGCCGCCGAGCGATATTAATGAATAGAAAGAAAACCTTACCTACTTTATGTCTAGAAGTGTCTTTGTTTTTTGTGGTTTCTGCAGACAGCACTGTGTGATTTGTTTTATTAGCCTGTATTTACAATCTTTCAAAATTTCATTAATTGTCAGGGACGGATCCAGATTTTATTTGAAACAAAGGGGCGTAAGTTTCATGAGATGAAATACACCCTACAGGTAACTGAATACACCCTTCAGGTAAATGAATACACCCTACAGGTAACTGAATCCAACAATGGTATGATTCATGTTCAGTGTTATGCTGATTAGTAATATTTGTAAACCATGTTTTGTAGATGATGTCAGGGGCAAAAAAGGGGGTGGGTGAGGTATGGATTTGGGTGAGGGGCCAGCCCCTTTTGCAAAGTAAAAAAAAAAAATAAAAAAAAAAAATAAAAAAAATATTAATTGCCCAAAACACCTCAGGGGTTATTTTCAGGCGTTAAAAAAACAGGAAATTTGAGGGGTAATTTCCCCAGACCCACTAGGTTATAGTTTTCTCTACCAGGCCCGCTTTAGCCTCCCCTTCCCTTTCGGACACTCTGTTCGGACACTCTGAATACGCCTCTGTGGATGGTACAGTATGTGCCCCTCCCTAAATCTACCCCTGATTGTATACATACAGTATACTGCTGAAATTACCTTTTCATTAAATATTTAAAAATTCACAAAACTTTTGTGAACTCCCTTCTGACTGAAAGAAAGCATCTGTCCTTTCAGTTTCAAAATATATTCAACAATTATGGAGATAAACCATGGAGGAAATCCTGTATGGATATACCTACAGTATGTCTGCTTAGCCTTGTTATGTTAAGTTGTTAGCAGGTTTGTTGAACTCTTGTACAGTATTGTACTAGGATTATCATTTCATCCAATCACAGTTCATCAGTCACAATCAACATGGATTTGTGAAAGGTCGCTTCACAACTAACTAGAAAATATATTAATATAATATATA